CAAAATACACGTGGAGTTTCTTGCTTCATTTCTTATATATAATAATAATAATAATAATCTACCATATTTATACAGGATAGCCTTTTCAGTAAAGATAATACTGCTATCACTGTAAAACAAGGGTCCTGTAAAAATAAAAGTTTGTAAAGTTACAAACACCAGCATTCTTATACAGAATCATAATTGACTTCAGTCTTTAAATTTACAGCAAAATGTCTCATAATTTCTTGTTTATATATAATTTTTTTATTGTATTATGTCTGTCGGTATTCTATCCAACAGTTTCCTTGTAGTTCTTAATCACAGTTTAACTCAAAGTCAAGCAGAAAATTTTGAGCAATGTCATTTTGACTTTAGCCTCAAGCTGCCTTTTTCAGCTTAAAGTTGCTTAGTCATTTCAATTCCATTCACATCATAAAACCCAATATAGATGCAAAAACATGTTAAACAATACTGTTCTGTTAAAAAATCCAATAACAAAGAATTGATGCTAGCTGGCAAATTCTGAGGAACAGCAACTGAAGAGAGGTGTATAATCACATGCCTTATTTAACATGATTAATTGTGTTGAGAAAACAACTTAAATAAGAGTTATTTACCAGCAGCAAGATTATGTTAAAATAAAGCTTAAATACTGTTAATAAAGAAGCAAGTATAAAAAGAAAATTCACGAATGTAAGCAGTCTAGCTAAAGTAACAATTTATTGAAAATGAAGAATGTCTATTTAATTATTATTAATATCATTAAGAGAAATTAAAGCTAAGAAAAAATCGTTAAGGAAGTTAGTATATGTTTTCTTGCTTGCTATATGAAGTCCAAAGAAGGTCACTCTCAGCTCAGGTTTCTTTTAAATGATGCCCGAGTTAAACTTCTAGGTTAATCTATCGTGAATTATATTAAGATGAAAGCGTTGGCTGAGATCTGGTAATAGAACAGGACATATATGAACAGCTTTGCAGTAGCTCAAGGTTTCTGCCCTATGATCATATTTGTGAGTAATATATAATTAAGAGATACAAGCTAACCCCCGAGGAAACTGCTTAGAAATTTATTCAAAATTCTTTTCAAATACCCATCATTTGCCAAACCTTTTCCAATATCAATGACTATTTGTGCACAAACTGTAGTTACGGGTTCTACATTCTACGTAGCTTCTATATCCCCCCAATAATTGTCAAACTGTATTATGTGTTTTTATAACAGTGTACTGAATGAGAAGGAAAACAATGGCAGGCCCCCTCCCCCTAATATTAATTTCGTTCCGACGGGACTGACATCTGACATCTTCTTGATATCCGTTGTCCAAAAAGATCGTTTTTAGGGTTTTCTAGTTCAGCGTGAAGTTTAGATTCCGAGGAGATCATGAGTGCCCTATGTACTAAAGTGTGACATGGTTGACCTTGCGTTGTTTTGGGGAAAATGAGTTCCAGCGTAAGCACTGACCGGTAAAAGTGGGCTTGCCACATACACTGGTAAGAAATCCAGTGTTAGACTTTTCGACCTGAACATCTAAAAACGGCAAGGAATCATTTTCTTCCTTTTCAAACCTAAACTGGAGGGCTGGGTGTAGGCTATTAAGGTATTTTAGAAAAATATCACACTCTGCCTCTGTTTTGAAAATAATATATGTGTCATCCACATATCGAAAATAGACACCAGGCTTTTGGTCGCAGTCGTAAAAACGCTCTTCGTCACGAAAGCCAACAAAGATATTGGCCAAAGTAGGTCCCAGAAGGCTGCGCACCGCAACACCATCCTTTTCTTGGTACATTTCATTGTTAAAGCGGAATTCAATTGAACGTGTTGCAGTTTCCATTAGTTCAATGAAAACTTCCTCTGGGAATGGTGGGCTATTAAGTTCGCTCCTGTACAAAGCATCGGTACAAAGCATTTAGCCCTTTGGAATTTAACAAATTACGAGCTCGACCAAGCGATTTTGGCATATGCGTATAGCGGCTACCCTATCGACCACACTAATTTTCTTTTGTATAAAGAACATTCCCAAGCACTAAAATATCTACGGGTTAACAATGACATTTTAACTACAAAACCTGATAAAGGGTCTAGAGTGGTCATTCTGAACAAAAAAGACTACATCACAAAATAGAGTGAATTCTCCATGACAAAGAAAACATTTGCCAAATTTGATGATGTTGAAACAGAGGAAACGGCCAAACTAGAGCGTAAAAGGCAGAAATGTTTTTTGGAACTGGTCAACTCAAAAGTGGAAGACGACAGAAATTTATGACAGGATAAGACCCACGGGCGCTCAACGGCCACAAATGTATGGCCTCCCTGAAATACACAAATTGAATATCCCACTTAGACTCATTGTGTTCTTTCAAAATTACCAGTCTTTTCACAAATGTTCCTTTGAGTGAAACAATCAAAAAATATGTGCCCACGCTTTGTACCAGAGCGAGCTTGCAGCAATTTTTTCTTTTTTCCCTTTCTTTAAAGAGAGAGACTTGTAGCAAGTCCAGCTTGCAGCCCACCATTCCCAGAGAAAGTATTCAGTGATCTGATTGAATTGCGAGTGCGACACGTTACAATACAGGGCGTATAAACGTAAAAGAGAGGACGCTACGAAAGCGTTGTTGATTTCATTATTGTGGATATGGAGACAATAAAATGTGTTAATGACAATGATACAATGGAAGACAATGGATGACATTCGACAATTGTCACTGCAGTATTTCATGATGCTCTTGTAGTGATTCCATTCATTCTAATTTTTCCTGACCTATCGCCATCCATTTTTACTTTGTTTATTCTACCTACAGGAATTTCTTTACATCACTACCTCATCACTACACTCTACGAGCATATCACCATGTCAACATTTCCTCTCTTTTGTTTAGGCCCTCGTTAACGCTACACATCTACCTACACCTCAATTCATAAACTATTCACACTCGGCCTAGCCGTTCCTTCCCTACGCCACCTTATTTGTTTTACGTAATTTACCACCGCTTATGTATATACTTTTCCAATAGATTTTAAGTAAGTTAGTTTTCTTTTCGCTGAAAAAAGACGCACAAAAACTCAGCAGATTTGTTTTCATTGTGTCGTTGGCCTAAGCCCAATGGCGGCGCCAGCCACTGCCCTCTGGGGGGGTTGACAAAACAAAAGATTTCAGACCACGCTCCTTTTAGAACCAGAAAACGCCCTTTTACTAACAAGGAACGCAATTTTTACCTGAAGGGAACGCCAATGACCCACTTTTGGCTATGCAAAGGCAGTTTGAAAATCATAGGATTACATCACAAAAAGTACGTTGCCAAAATATGACCCCTCTCCTAACATTTTCTCATCGGATTTAGACGAAATGCAAAACTGATCCTGCCAAGAACTGGGGGGACGTGCCCCCCAGTCCCCCCCCCCCGTGTCGCCGCTACTGCCTAAGGCAGTGTAAACCAAGAGTCAAGATTATAAAGATAAGGATCGGTGAGATCGTACACAGCCACAATTTGACCTATTTAACTCTTTCGTGTTATTGTATACACATTAAAAATTCTTAGAATAGACCTTTATGACATCATTATTTGATAACTTTATAAAAATGTAGTTTAAAGGCATCGAGTCATGGTAAATAGGCCTTCTCTATAGGGGGTCATTTGGTTTCGGCGTCATCGCTGCTGTTTCATGTGATATTTGCATCCGTTGTTGACAACTTGCTATTGATGGAAATAATAATAATAATAATAATATCATATTTATACAGGTTAACTTTGGTCAGCAACAACGTGCTGTTATCAATAAAGGACCTGTCTAAAATATACATGTATTACCGAAATAAAAATTAAATGCATGATGAAAATGAAATCTTAAAAGTCGAAATCTTAAAAATTGTTTTGTCAATCAGTACGAGGTGAGTTCATACGACCGGTTCCAGGTCAACCAATAGCATTGCAGTCATGAAAATCATGACTCAGCGGATTTTGGCACTTGGGGTATACCCAATCCATTTTATCATGACTCAATGCCTTTAAAGCATGAGACTACCACTTTGACAACAGAATTGGTTGTATTGTTATTGTTTATATGCTGTTGTTTTGAATTGTATTGTATTATAAAAGGGAGGCACCCTGTTCTTTTCAATTGAGCATTTCCTAGTAAAGTGAATGGGAAATCCAAGGGGCAATACACTCTTGCAAATAGTGGACGAGTTTTTTCCTAAAACAAAAGGATTTCTGGGGATTTTTAGATAAAACAATAGGCTTTTCACAAAAGGTGTAATCAGCTCCTTGGAGTGATTAGCTCCTCGGGGAAATCTTTGCACATCAAAAGTGTAAATGAATTCTTGTATCATATTTTGTGCTTCCCAACAATCTTAGCCCTCTTGTTGTGCCTATCTGATTTTATCAACTTAGGGAGCTGTTACAATTGATAACAGATAAGGGCTGGAAGCATTTCTTTGGGCAAGATATTTTAGACCCCTACATTTTCCCCACTGAATACTACCGCGGCACACAAAATTTACCATAAGGAATGTGCCCAGGTTCCTGCAATAATTTTATGCCTCCTCTTTCATTGCCAACAGGAACTAGCAGATGCTGCCTGAAGTCCTTATCAACATTCAACATAGCAATGGGAAGGGGGGGGGCACATGTTGTCAAAATAGGAGCAGTTCTGTTAGGTAGCATCTCTGTAAAGGCGGGTTTCCACTTTATTCGCTCTGGTCCCGCGACTGAGCGAATGCACCCCTCAGGATAATTAGCACCCTGTCTTTTAACTTTTTGTCGCTGCTGTATATTTGCGCATTGTTGACGTTTTGACACTATTTTGCTGATTTTGATTACACCTTCGATGGAACTTTTGAGAGATTTGAGTAGTTTTAGGCTCACAAGAAGATTTGCAGGGATTTTCGGATATTTTTTCCGATTTCGGGAGGTGGTTTACGGGATTTTTGAAGCGAAATGCTCCTCGGGTATCTCCCATTGGAATTTGCATTGAATAATCACATAATGATTTTGTGAACTGTGCGTGCAACAAGGCACGATTTCATAGCCACGTGACACCACTACGCGGCAGGTGATATACTTAGTTGTCCAGGAAAAGGAAAGCAGGTAAACAAGGAAAGATCAGGAGTTGGACATAAGAAGAAAAATGAACTTGATATTTGGTAGACTGAAAGTTCGTCCAGAGGTAAAGTATACCGTGAAGTAGCTCATAACGCAGTTTTTGCTTCGTTACTTACGATCCATAGCGACCAGCTTGCATTTTATAAACAAGATCGAGGGTGAGAAAGTTGTAAGGCGTTATTTATGTTGTCGTTGAAGATTAATATATCTTGGAGCAAAATTTGAATAATTGTTTTAAAAATCTATAAATGCCGCTAAAATATTGAAGCAGAAAATCTTAAAGTGTGACAGGGCATTTTTGATCCAGTTGAGGTGTATCAAGCATTAATACACACAAGGCTTGAAGGGTTTTGCATCTTAGTTCACGCTATTTGGAGTTTTAGATTCATCTTTAATCAAATTCTAATAACCCTTTTTATCATTTATTCTAGGTTTACCCTCTCATTGTCATATTGTCTGGAGCGTGTGGACTAGCCGCCTTCTTCGGAGGCAGAGCGGCCTTTCTGTATCCGGACGTTGCGTGAGTAGCCGGCATCTTGCATGATTTTTGCGACTTTAATTTTGCCGCTAACTAGGGGTAGGTCTAGTGAATTTCGTCTTATGGACAAAAAGTCATGAAAAACCCTCAACTTAATATTTGTGACACAATACCGGGGTTGGAGATATACGAAGCTATTTTTCATCACTGTACAAATCTGCGTAAAAAGATAGTTTTGTGCAAAGACCGAGATACAACTTTTGTTTGAGGGGGCCAGCCCTGATAAATAAATGTAAAATCAGTCATAATAAAAGTACTTTACAAATACCGTTTAAGTTTTTTTGGGGGTCAAGGCCCCCTGGCCCCCACGGTATCTCGGTCCTTGCTTTTGTGTAAAAAATGAACTCAAAATTTGATTTTGGATTTCTAACAGGCAGAGACCTCGTTGCCTGTGAAAAAGCAGGATAGATATGAAATTTCTAATTCGACTTGTTAACCAATATATTTGGCACGGACACAGGTTGGAACGTGAGGGCCAAAAGAATGTCCACTCTTATCCAGTAATATCCCACTCTTAAATTTCACTGTATGTATCATTTTTGTTGTAACCAAGGAGCATTTGAAAACATCATCAAAATCGAAATCCCCCCATTTGCCATTTTGTCAAATGCCCCCAATTTTGAAAGTTTTGTAATTTTTTGCCTGTCATAACTCAGGACGAAGGACAAATAACTGCTTAAAATCACATACGCTCTCGAAAATAATCACACTTCACAAATTAATCACATTTATCACCAAAAATCACCAGTCTTATTAAACACAAATATTTGAACCTTTGGTCACGTTTATTTGCATATGTTATTGAAAAAAATTAAATGTCCCTTTCAAGGTTTTCCACATTGTTATGAACATGTTAAAAAATCTGCCAACACACTCGAGAACATCAGCAACAATGAAAGCCTCGTTCTCAAGCCGGGGTCGCTGAAACAACTACAAGGTGAAATATCATTTTGTTACCGATTTTTAGGTACTTCCAAGCTTGGGCGTTGTAGCTAGGCGGGACACCAGAATATTTTCCGGTGGGCCCCTTTGAAGTGAGTTTGTAAAACCCAGGACAAACAGACCTCTGTGAGAGAGATACGTGGAATATGAACAGGGGCGCCGACAGGGGGACTAGGAAGGGCAAACTGCCCAAAGGCCTCCAGGTTTATGGGGCCTTTTAAAGCCAGGAATTCCAATTTAAGAACTAAATTTTAATAAAACGCAACAAAGTATACAAAGTAAAAAATTGTAAAACGTAGTAACCGACTGTAGAAAACATTCTGAAATGTATTTCAAGCTCATTCAAAGGGCGTGGCCGGCAAATATTTCCGCTCCCTTCGCTCGCAGTCAACTTAAGTGCTCTGTAACGTTTGTGTTTTTATCAAATGTGCACTAAAGCATTAGATTTGTTTCACATTTTTTGCATACCAACCAGGTTTATATTCACTAAATAGTTTGATAGATAAAAACTGTAAGACGCGAATAAACTTGTATCCATTTCGCATTTCAGTACATTCCCAATAAAACTATCCTTGCCCCTTGTTTAATGACGCTAATGTCTTTTGTCTTTATTTAACTGCTGAAATCTTTTCGATGAGTTTATTGGAGTTTGAAACTCCCAGGCTATCAAAATCTGCTGTCATTAAACATAAAGCAACAACGTGCTACTGTGACATTGTGGACATCAGTTCAATCCTTTTCTTTACCCTTTTCAGCATGGTAAACAATTTTCAACGGAGGAACATCCGTATGGCAATGGCAAACTGAGCAAAAAACTAAGCACAGTCATTGCATTGGTGAAAGCTCCAGCCAGGGCTAGCTACCGAAAGTTTCAAAGGCCTTGGGCTAAAAACAAAATATGAGACCCCCTGCGAGCGGAGCGAGCTAAAAATTCTTGTGACCACGCCCTTGATTTCATTCTTAGAATGGAACTCATTACTTGAGAAAGCCCCCTAGCTCAATTTAAACACAAGATTGAAATCAAGAGCACTTTAAAGGCTTTTCAAAATTTTGCTCGGGGCCCCTTAAATCTAAAAATTTTAGGGAGCCCTTGAGCTTGGGCCCAATGGGCCCATGGATAAATGCGTCATTGTTCCCGTTAATTGCTGATCTAAGCAACAATGAAAGCATAATTGAATTTACTGTTGTGTGATTGAAATTTTGGAGTTGGAGAATAAACCAATTTCAGCGGAATTTGCATTTGTAAGAGATTAACGGGCGACTGATTGCTATGTTGAATACCGATGAGCTGAACGCTGAACTGCTAGTACGAAAGTGTATTTTTCTACCTGAATTGTTTACTCGTCTAATGGTTTGGCTAATGAAGTTGTTTTCATTGATAATGCGACACATTATTCAATTTTACCTCTCTTTATCAGCTGCTGAATAATTGTTCTGCAGAATATGTGAACTTGCCCCTACAGACTTTAAACTCTGTTGTTTATTGAAATTATTTTAATATAGTATTTATATTGGTCATGTTTATAAGACCAAAATCTGGAAAAGTCTAATAAGACTATTTCAACTACCACAAATATATGATATGCAACTTTAAATGCCACTCCTACCCCCTTTTATTGTCAAATTTAGTTCTCACCAATTTGAACTTTTACTTTAGTTGTAGAGACTTACTACACTTTAACATAGATTTGTTTGAAAAGTAAGCACCCTAAAGCACGTCTTTAAGTATGGGTTTGTTTTTCAAAAGATAGACATCGATTTAAAATTTGCTTTTTACTGAATTTAAGAAAAAAATCATCTGAAAAAAGAATTTTTGTACATGGGCGTTTCCTATTGAATAAGGGTGTGGCCCTGTCCATACAGCAGGACCAACAACTTTTGGCTAGCTTGGACACTGGTGCAAATGCAAATTTCTTTTAGGGGGTGTTCTTTCAAAGGAAAAAGTTTTCGCCACGACAGACCAATTTTTGTGATATAGCCTTGTTGGGGGGTGGATTTCAAATTTACCTGAAATTATATGGTAAGACTTTCGCCTATCTTTCGCTGGTTGTACGGATAGTTGTCGGTGTCTAAGAGAAAAGCCAAGAAAAAGAATCCTTCTAGCGCTCAGCAATCTCTATTCATCACAAAATTCTCGTTTCTCTAGGCTTGAATACGAATACTACTGATAATTTCACATGTTTTTATATGTTCCAACAAGGAATCACCGAAATATAAACCAATAACAAGCGTTCTTACAATTTACGTAAATTTGTCACGTGAATACTTATTACAATCACAGGTTTGATAATTATTAACTGTCCCCATTTTTACGAGGAAGAATTTGCGTATAAACGTTAACTAAACAATACATGCTGCGTAAAACAGCAATGATCCATTCCTATTTAAGCATTTGAAAGTGCAATCATATAACCACGTACTGTGGAATCTACGTAAACATGACTAACACGGAACCATGCTGCAATGCAAGGGTTACTAAATGGATAAGAGGGCTGGGAAAATCCACACTCTCCCCTCCTTGACCAGCTATGAGTCAAGCATAATGCGGGTTTTCCAACTAGCATCCTTAGCAGCTGCGCGTTGCTGCCTAACCTTGATGAGGCTCTCATTACTTGCATCTGTTTCTCCTGTGGTATTCTTGCTTTCCTCGCCATTTTCATTCCCTTCCTTCTTTAACTCGAGAGGAAAAAGTTTCTGTAAAGTTCTACTTAAATAATCTTTCTTACCCTTGGAGCAAGTCCTTGCTTTTGCTCCTCTGATAACTCCATCCTTCCCATGAATTAGGTTTTCAATTTGTCCCATTTTCCATTGGTTGCGCTTCAAATTGTCTTCTTTTATCAAAGCAATGTCTCCTCGGTGAATGTTTGCTTCCCCTGTGCCTCTATGTCTGTGATGTTCCCTAAAGTCAACTAGATATTAATTTTTCCATCGAGAAGCAAAATGGTTGATCTTTTTAATGAGATACCAAAACCGTTTTGTGCATATGGCTACATTTTCATTGACCTCATTAACATCAAATTCTAGATTATTTGCTAGCAAAGGTAATCTCCTACCATGCAATAAATGATTTGGTGTCAGGGGCTCATAACCAATCTCATCATAAATATATGTCAATGGCCTAGAGTGAAGTATAACTTCAACTTCTAGTAGTGTGGTGTTTAATTCATCCAAGGAAAGTCTTGCATTCCCTAAAACATTTCTTAGACAAGACTTTGCAGATCCTACAAGACGCTCAAAATATCCACCCCACCAAGGACTTCGCTCAAGATTAAATCGCCATTTTATCCTTTTGTCCTGTAGGAAGGAAAATACTGAAGGACCGGCAAAGTCAATACCAACATTTGTGAATGGTGGCACATCCTTGACTCTAAAGTCTGGCAAGGGTCCTTCTATAGGTCTATTACATGGCCTTCCTTGTTTGTGAATACACACAATAAATTTGCTCAAAATTCTTTTTACATATTGTCTACCCCTTGGAACCCAAAACCTAGAGCGCAGTTCTGCTAGGGTTGCCTTTAAACCTAAGTGTCTAACTCTGTGGTGACAATCTTGTTTTACTAGATCAGTAAATGCGTTATCTCTTGGTAATAAAATTTGAAACTTTGCTTCTATGTCCAAATCAGAGTTTCTTAGGCTACCTTTGCAAATCAACATGTTGCCCTTTTCTACAACGTCTAGTTGCACAGCAAGTAATTTAAAGTTACCTGATTTCTTCATTTGTTCTTGTGTATCTCTGATCCAATGTGCTTCTGCTTCGCATATTTCAGTTGCAGTTAAACCATCTGTTTGCCTTTCTTCCTTTGACAGCCTTATGTTTCGAAGAAAGCGCAGAACATATGCAGAAACCTTGTACAATTTGGCCAAAGTGCTGAATCTTTTAGCATCTATGATATTTCCAATATGCCTCTCTGAGTCTTGTGCTACTGCTAAAGCATTTGTTTCCCTCTTCTTTTCTTCTTCGATTTCCTGTGAATCAGAAAGCAATAATTGTTTAGGCCAATGTTTTTCCCCATAACTAACCAATCGGGGCCTTGCCACCACAACCTACTGGTATTCAATGCACCGGGTGTTACACCTCTGGAGCCTAAATCTGCAGGGTTGCAGATACCTGCACAATGACCCCAGTTCCTTTTATCTGAGATCTGTAATATCTCATTAACACGGTGCTGGACAAATTGTTTCCAGAGCCCTTGATTGTTGATCCAGTAGAGGGCAGTTTTTGAATCTAACCAATATCTGCATCCATCAATTTTCACCTGAGGGCTCAATGCTTGATAAACAGTGTCCATTAGTGTTGACAATATACGTCGAGACATAAGCTCAAGTCTAGGAATACTGAGTTGTTTCAATGGGGCTAGCTTTGTTTTTGCACAAATAAGCCTAAAAAAATACCATCATCAGTTTCATAGACAAGATAGATCACTGCACAGTATGCATTTTTACTAGTATCTGCAAATCCATGGAGATAGCAAAATGTGACAGTACCTGTTTCCTTACCATTTAAGCACCTGGGCAAAGAGATATTTCCAGTTTCTTTTAGATCATCGTCCCATCCAAGTTTCAAAGTGCAAAGTTCCTGGAAATCTTAAGACCTACAATGACTGGTCTTACAAGTCCTAGTGGGTCAAATAGTTTTGCAATTATACTAAGAATGGTTCTTTTAGTTACTTTTACATCCTCATCAATATTTATGAATTTCCTGAAATCAAAAATGAAGTCATCACTTCCTATATTCCAAGATATACCTAGAACCTTTGTACTATCGTGTCCTTCCTCAGAGCCAAGTGTCTCCTTAGCATATGTTTCTTCAGTGGGAGAAACATTTTGGCTTGCAGTTATGATTTTCTCCTCTTCAAATTCTTTTGCTAGGATAGGATCTGAGGTTTTCCATTTTCTGAGGTTCAATCCAGCAGCCTTCATATGTTCTTTAGCTGAAAGAAAAGGTTTTCTATCGCCTTCCGGATCTGAACTTCTAGACACTAGGTCATCAACATAAAAACTTGTGGCAAGTTTAGTAGCAATTTGAGGATCGATTACTTCATATTTTGCAATTTGGTATCTTAGCGCAGCATTAAGCAAAAATGGGGAACAATTAGCTCCAAATATCAATCTTCTGAACCTATACACAATCACAGATAAATCTTTTGCATTAAAATCTTCAACCCACAAGAATCTAAGACAATCTCTGTCTTGTGTATCAACTTCAATATTCAAGAATGCCTTTTCAATGTCAGCTATAATTCAAATCCTATTCTCCCTAAATCTCAATAAATTGTCAAACAGTAACGTAGTGAGTGGGGGTCCAACATGAAGGCAATCATTCAAAGATGTACCTGACCTGCCCTCTTTTGCTGAAATTCTAATTCTGAAACCTCTTAAATAATTCTATTATCTAACTGCTCCTAGATAATATTGTCATAGCCCTCTAAGATTTCAGGAGTTGCTTTCAATCGGCAAATTTGTGACTTCAACCTGGAAAGACTAACTGAATAATTTGTGGGGATGGGTTTATGCCCCATCTTCCATGGAAGCTTTACAGAGTAACGCTTGCCAGTGAACTCAACATTATCAAGAAAGTTTTCATAAATTTCATCAACTTTATTTATGCCTATTGTCTCCAAATCCCACATTTTGTGCACATCTTTATCTAGAGGTTCAGCACAATTAAAAGTAATAGATTTCTGCGGTTGAATTATCAAGTTGACATTAGAGGTTTCAACTGAATTAAGTTTCTTACCTTTCAGCGGACCAGAAATTACCCAACCAAGCTTTGTCTTTATGGCAACAGGTTGGCCTGGCTCCCCTCTTATAGTCTTACCATCTTGCAAGCTGTGCAGAAAATCTATTCCCACAATAATGTCAACTGCAAGCACTTCTTGTGATCTACAAACATCTGAGAACCATATATTTTTAAGGTGCTTAAAATCTTGTTCAATTACCTCAACATTCTCATTTTGTACCTCTGAAATATTTTCAACCACATATGCCTCAATAACTCCTGCTTTCTTTCCCTCTGTGGACTCAAGTCTTAATCTTACCACTTCTCTCAATCTCTCATCCACATTCAGGGACCCAAAGGTTTTAATACCTAGCTTCTCCTGGCGTGTGGGATGCAAGCCTAGTTGCTCCTTAACCTGACGCGTAACAAAGGTCTTATGGCTACCAGAATAAAAAAGCACGCGTGCCTTAACCTTCCTACCTGCTTTCCTTACAAACGCAAGTGCCGTTTGCAGTACTGCTCTCCCCCCATATTCAATGCTACCTAAACAAGAGGTGGTATTTAGCAGTACTACTAAAACTATCAGGGGCATTGGGCTGTATGGAGATGGCTTCATATGTGAAGACACATAATTATCGCAAATCGAACATATATTGCATAAAACCTAAGTGCGGCAATCGTAGGCTTTATGTCCTCGTTTCAAGCAAAAAAGACAGCGTCCTTGTTTATAAAGAATTTTCTTCCTATCTTCGATTGTCTTGACTTCACTGCATCCCTTCTCTTCGTAACTGCCATTGCAAAACACGCACGTCCCTTGTTTTGACTTCTGCTCTCCGCCATCTTGCTTTGCAAACAGTGCGCTTGCTGTTGTTGTTCTTCCTGGAATTAGGGAGGTTTAGAATGAAGACGAGAACGAGGACGAAGACAAAGTTCTATCGCGAGGGAGTCTGGGATCTATATGTCGTCGTCGCCACGGGATCCCACTGTTTAGATTACGAAACGAGGACAACCCCACAAAAATAAACAAAATGGCGTCTAATGAGCTTTTTGAAGCAGCAGCTTACCTGTACAGTGAAGACCTCGTTGACGAAGAGGAGTTTATGTTTCTTGTAAAAGAAAGCGAAGATAAAGCACCAGTGTTTCCCTACTGGAAATATTATTAACTTTCTGACATCTGGCCAATTTTAAGGCATAAAATCATGCTTATAAAAAAATTGTTAAGGGTTAAACCTTTAATTGTTTTTGGTGTTATTGATAGTACTTATCATTTCGTTCATAACAGCTAATGTTTGCATTTGAGTCTGCTGCATCTGTAACATGAATTGCTGCTGTTGCTGCATCATATTTTGCATGAAGGTCTGTTGACCCTCCATCATTTTGGACAAATTCTCCCTTGCTAAACGCCTTTCATTCAACTCTTCTTTTTTCAACTCTCTTTCTTGATTTGCATTTTCCTGCTTAAACTTTAGCCCTTGCTCTATGAGTACAACTGCCTCAGACGCCTTTTTCCTTCTCTTCGGTGTTTCTGTCCCATCCTCTTCTTCTTTTCTCTTTCTAGTTTCCCCAAGACGCTCGACAGCTTTCATTCGCATATCTTCTGCCTTCTTATTTTCTTTATCTTCATTCACCTTGATCCTATCTTTTGCTTCTGCCCACGAAAGCTGCGCCTCTTCCATCCTCTCGCTGATATCTAGCATGCCACGATACAAATTGTTGTACTCCACCCATTGAATGCCCGAAGCTCTCTTCTCAGCAACTTCATTCTTCTTGAAGTTTTCTAAAAGCTTCAAAAATCTATCTCTCACCGATCGTGCTGTGACTCTGAAGTCTTGCTCTGGTATAGAGTTTAAATTCTCAGCGATCTGCTTCCAAGCTAGGCCCCTTTCCTTTGAGCCAGGTTTGTGGTTATACGGCTCAACAACCAAAAGCTCAGTAACAAGGCATTCATCGTGGACATTTTTCCAGATAAATACATCCCTTGACATTTTTAGGGTACTATTTTCCATTTTCTCGGGGTCTATGAATTTAAAAAACTTCGTTCTCGTCGCAACGATCTTTCCGCAAAACTTGGTTGTGAACTGACTGTTTGCGAACGCAGCGCTATGGTGATTCCCGCCAAGTATGCGCAGATCGAATGCACACTTGTTGACTTTGTCCTCATCCTCGTCCTCGTCATCAATCTAAACCTCCCTATTCTTGGTTTTACGTCAAACCGCTCCTTCGCAGCTGATGGATTTCCAACCTGTTTGAAGAATGACGTGTGGTGCAAGAAAGATGGGAGTGGAAGGCATAAAACTTAGAGTGAAAATAAAATTCAGCAGATATTAATGCTCTCAGTAGATGACACATCTTTTCTAATGACAGAGAATCATTGTACAGGCAGTTTTCATTTTCCCTGAACCTAACCAACAATATATATTTTACATTCTACATAGGCATGCTGAAGCCTGGGGCTGCTGTAGCCCCTTATATCATGACGTATCTTATTTAAGTTGTGGCACTAAAGATATCAGTTGCAGACTTCCATAAGTGTTTGCTATCTTGTCTAGAGTAAAGTTATGACTACACAGTTTTCTGGCAGGAATAGCTTTTGAGATGATGAGTAAATGTAGACTTATGCATATAGAGTTGAGGATTGCAGTTTTTGATTAAATATTTCCCGTCAATTGAATAAATCTTTAATGTTGTTTGAGCCTTGATAAATAAAGGATAGAAACCTAAAAATATTTTGACCATTCAGATATTTCTACAAAGTTAAAAATAACAAAATGGCTTTTGAGGTATAGCTCAAAACCTTTAAACGAGCTTTTCTACAAAATATTTTGTTCTTGATTCATTTTTAAACCTTACCCAAACACCTTCCAACTTGTGTCAAAAAGCACCCCCCCCCAAAGGAATTAACTTGATAGAGAAATCTCAAGCTTAGGATAGTGTTTTAAGCAGTCAGTTAGGCAGCAAACCTAGCAAGAAATTTATATTGATAAAGGTTTTAAGATCTTTTCCCAATTTTTCCGATCAATTCAGTAATACGTGTTTGGAAATGGAGTTTACAGTAATCGTTCCTTTTGTTGTTGCTGCTGTCCACACTTAAATTTCCCGCCACAAGCATTCCGATGGCAAATAAAATTCTACCTATCTCTCTAAATTTTACCAGCATTACTTGATAAATATCGCTACTTTGAAAGTAAGACCGTACCTTCCGGCAAAATTAATTTTTCTCCTGCTAGATCCAGCCATTTTCAGGGGATTAAATGTTGAATTGCTTGTCCTTTTTATTTAGGCCAACAACAGTAAAAACAAGAATCGATCTTTGCCTTTCAGTGGCCTTGATATTTTTTTAGGATCTTTTTATAATTCGAGCCAATAAGTGACTTGATTGACTTCAAAATATCCATACTGCATCCGGAACCTGGTTTATCAGACCCTCTACTCGATATACTTTTGCCAGGCATTTGTTTACCTGAGACTCTGAGACTGAGAGGTAAAATTGCTGTGCAGGAGGGTATTGTCTTAGCTGCAATCTTAGTGGTAAGTCAGTGGAAGTCAGTCTTAAAATCCATACATCGCCTGGACCCCAAAATATTTCTCATACTGACCCCTGTAAAAATTATTTGCCTTATTGATCATACATCGCCTCTACTGACTTACGAGAACAATAGTTTTAGCATGGTGCAGAAAAGCTTTGTTAAAAGATGACCGCGCAGATTCCTAATTTATTCGACTGACTTACCAATGATATTGCGAGTTTTAACCCTAACATCTTTGTTCTAATGATTTATGCACTGAGCTGTGAATTTCTATGGGAGAATTTATTGATAGATCATTTCGTCGAACAGTTTTATAGAAAATTTTCGAACCTACAGTTGACAGATCTGATGATTTTGAACAGGCGCTATAGAGAATATGACAAATTAAAGAAAATCTTTGTGCTGTTGTGGGACTTGAGAAAAATGTGTTTGAGAGCTAATTTTTTTCATTTCGTTTCTACAGATTGAAAATTGTTGACTGACTTCCGTGAGTCGGGTAAGTCAGTCTGGATCCGCCCCTGGTAGCAACACCCGTCGGTGCACCCTTTAAATCAAGTTTCTTTTCCAGAGCAATTTTGAATCCTCGAGCAATAGATTTTGCTTTCAATAAAATCTGAGCTTTCAAATCCAGCCAAATACAAATTAATGATACAACCAATAATAACCAACGTATATAAAAATAGCCTCTGTAACTGGTTATGTGTCGAAGTTCGAAAGCTTTGCTCTGGACGTCCGCCCATTACAAGTTTTGTTGTTTTTTTGGGAAGACCTATACTCAGACTGAGTTATAACACCATAATTTGATGAACAGTAAATTTTTTGCAAACTCTCAAGAGTTTTTTTTGACATTGAATTGCAAACAGAATAGAGCGTCAAACTTTGCCGAGGCAACCAAGACAAACAAAAAGGGTAAAATGAGAGAGGACTGGGGTTGCAATTTTTAATGATTTAAAGGAAATTTTAGAAGCACTGTCTTCAAATTTTGTACATGTCAGAAAATATCTAAAATCTAGATTTAGCGAGTGGCTAGCTCCCTCATGGTACCATGGGCCATAAATATAAATATCAATGTTGTCTTAAGAAAAAGTTATATCTCAAGGAACCTCGCTTTGGCCTAGTAAAAAAATTTCTCGTTCTCGAATAGGGATTCCTCAAGGCCCGCGGCACGAATTTGAAGTTGGGGGGCAAGGTTTAAAATGTATGGGGCCAAGGCTCTTTACCCTTTTTATTGTAGCTACTTTCTTTGCAAAAAAGTTGGGGTCATGGCCACCCTGCCCCCCTCCCAGTGGTGTAAGCCCTGTTCCTTGTGTTGAGTGTCTGTTAGACAGATAATTTTTTATAACTATCTAGCAATCTGCCTAAACGAAGTTTTTAAAGTTTAAATCAGTAAAGGCCATTCTGGCAAATAACACCCTTCTGGAAGCCACGTTTCCGGATGCATGAAATCTGATGATGCTATCATAAAGAATATGCAAAATTGAACTAAAGATATTAAAAGAGCAATGTGATCTGACCTATAAGAAAAACGTTATTGCTGTTGAAACCTATTATTTTGTGAAACAACTTGCATCTGAAGTTTCATGATAGTACAGATGTATAGCAGTAGAATTATGTGAGTTTTGATAGTAGCATGACGTTTGGAACAAGCTCAAAATCCAATATGCTAATTAAGATAAAATCCATATCAAGCTTCAAAATGCCCCAAAAAGCCATTTTTGGACGGGTACCCAGTCCTCTTTTAGGTATAGTACTACAACGTTTTAACTTTGCAAGTTATAAAGCTTAGAATTTTTTCTGGCGTTATTTGATGTGCTTAATGAAATGAGGCGCAAAAACAGCTTTTTAGGTAATTTGTCCATATAAAAGGACTGCGTATACCCAACTTGTCAAGCAGCATCAAAATAACGCTTGCGATTGGTCAGTATTCTTGCAATGAAAAACTGCTCACATGAAAAACCAACCTCGAGCAGGTTAGTTAGACAGAACGACCGTAATGACTGTGGTGATGACATAAAAATCATATGTTTTTGAAAATCCCCGTAGAGTTGCTTGCTTTAGCTAGTCTGCGCGCAGGTTTTCCAACCGACGAGTTTAGTTACATGAATCTAAGTTCAGTTGAATGTAAAGTTACATGAATCATTATTCATGCTTCCAGAAACGCTACTTCCGGTCATTTGCCAGAATGTTCCCAAGGCTTAAAACGGTCAGTGGCCTATACTCTTATGATTTAAACTCTAAATTCTTTGGTTAGGCTGGTTGCTAAATTATTATGCAAAACTCCCTGTCTATGTTTTATGATTTTGAAATTGTAAATGAAGTCAGTAATTTTTTAGCTTTATCGCTATTCTATTGATCTGATCGTTCGTTTGCAGATGGGATCATAAAAAAAATCCTCACCCGTGGTTGTCCATTCAACAAAGAGAACAACGAAAGGTTTGTCTTTGAATAGTTGATTGGCTGCTTGGCGACTCTGTTTGTCCATTTATTTCAAAGACTGGTTGTGCCATGTACTCTTGTCCATTTATTTCAATGACTGGTTGTGTCAGTTGATTGTTTTTGCATTTGAAATTACATGAAAGCAAAATATTACTTCGAGCAAATGACTCTGATCCCATGGCTCCTACCCAAGACTATTCTCATCTACTAAGATCACTCCTAGGAGTCTCTGAAACTGGGATGAGACTGTTGGAATTAGCCGCCTAATTTCTACCAGAAAATTGTTAGAGCAAGGTAACCGTACCAGTTTTGATACGGGTAGCAAAGAGTGGTGCAGAAACAAGGCTTGTCCGTACCACTTTTGATACAGATAAAAAGTGATTTTTAGTAGTGTAGACAGGGCAAAAAAGGTATGATATGCTATCATCGTAATCATTAATTAATTATTAATTCATACCCTCAGTCGAAGTATGCTATAAAATATGTTCGAACCTAACAAGGGGTCACTCACCACTCAATGGTCAAAAGAGAGCCCCGTTGTTACAATAAATAGTTACAATAGAATACTTAAATTCAGACTGAGATGGTTACTTTGTAAAATATACAAATAGAATATACAAAGAGTGATGAGATAGAGTAAAACACCAATCAAATGAATCATGGGTCTTCCTTTCGCACGGGGCTGGGAATAGTTTTAGGGTGAAAGATTTGACCGGTCAGCTCTTTTTGTGTCAATTTGGTGGCCTTCTGGTCTTCTGGTTAAACTATTGCAAAGCTTTACATCTTTTTACCAAAAAGTTTGCTTCTATTGTCATTTACTGCCTGTAGAACGGTAAAAAAAACTTTTTAAAAGCTTTTATAAGTACTCTGCTGCGGTAAGCCAGATCATTCTTTGACATATATACCTTTACGGCGTAGTTTTGGGCTAAGGCAACAAAAGAAATGATATCAAGTGAAGATGATTAGTGGGAATCATGCTGTATTTTTATTGCGATTGTAGGCTCAAAAAATTGAAAGAAAAAGTTTTTCTCGGTGAACTTTATGGAAATTGACGAAATTGTCCCCTGTCCGTTTACTTTTTTCTACTCTTCTTCCATTCACCTCAATCTTTACTCTTCATGTGTTTTCAGTGCTAAACTAAATGGGCAAAAAGAAAAGAGTGGATCGGCGTGGTAAATTGATCAACGACTCAAAAATAATTTTTGAATTTTGGACGGATTACTTCGTTCTGTCCCGTCATTTGTTCGATGGAGTGCAGCTAGGCTATAGTAAATTTTTCGTAAAAAGAACCATATCGAATAGGAGCCTATTTGATAAGTACTTGATGTGAAAAGAATGTAGAGGAGCCTTGAGATGTTCAGGAAGGAGCTTTTGAAGCTAACAGAATTTAGCAGCAAACTTGTAAGCTGTCATGAATCTCTTTGTTAACAGAATCTCGACGTAGATTTTAGATTCACCGATAAAAAGAACTTATGATAATTATTAGCGGGACATTATAAACATGGATAAAATTTGACTTGATTAAAAACGGACAACTGTACTTTGTTAAGATGTAAAACTTGGAACGTAGGTTTCATGTAAAAGACATCGACTAAGCATGTTATAAATTCAAATTGGTTGAAAGTTACTTCAAGGATATGTCTGTCATAGATTTTTGCGCTTCTTCTGGTCCGTTGACCTACTTTAATAATAGCTAAGATTGACAGCTGAGATTGCAACTTATTTTTATATCGATTCCAGGAGTGGCTGGGAGTTGAAAAGTATTGATATTAGCCTGCTGAAATTGAGACATAAGAAGGCCCCAATTCAAGGTCGAAAAGCTTTTAACGGGGGTGAAGCTTATATGTTTTGATTTAGGGAGGGTGGAGCCTTTTCTATTTGATGGTTTGGAATGGCGTTTTAGCAATACTTTATCTTACAATATCTTTTGAAGGCACTGGCCTTCTCTGCCTCCCCCGAACTACAGAGCCTGATGTCCCCGTGGTAACGTAGTGCATCCAACTAGATGTTGGTGAAGGAAGGGTCCTACTAAATACAAATGGATGATGCCTGCGGCAAACTACGTATTTTGACACAGTGGATTGCTGTCAAGTAAAGGTGCCACAAGATATTAGCCCATTAATTCTAATACGAAAAGGCGTTTGGCCCGTTGGTGAGATTTGTGATATTTTGATTCAAGCAGCGATTCACCATAGAGACATGCAGCACAAAAACATAAAATGTCTCATCTGATTAGACAAACGAGAGAGGTATTGTGAAAATATTGCTTTTGACTCTACGTGGTATTTTTTTATCTTTCATTTCCTGCATAACACATTGAATTAAAGTTTCATACAAGACATCTTCTTCAACTTTCTTAAAAATCAACTGTGTCTAAAATGGATGTTGACTGAAGGAAAATCTGACGCAATATTCTCAGGCTTGTTTTTTTCTCTGATGGTTTCGTATATTGTAATGGTAAAATGCAATAGGAAAGGGCTTACAAAGTGTTAGGATAACCTTTTTAATGCAGTTCATAGGGAAAAATTTATCATATTTTTAAAATAGCCAAAATAAGATGGAGGAAATAAATGTATAAAACACAGTTTAATAAAAAGCATTAAAAAAATAATTTTGTTCATTTGGGATATCATGTTGAAAAGCGTATCTTAATTTTTTCGGAATAAAGTATTTTTAACAAAAAGACTCTAGATTTGACAACTTTCAAAATGTGTTTAAATAGAATGTAAAATAACGTCTAGATTCTCTCGTTTTTAGTAAGAATGGATTTTCCACAAATCTTTATTAAGGCTTTCTTGAAAACAATTTTAAAGAACATACCTGCTGATTCTTTAATTTGCATATCCTCCAGCAGTTTCCTTTCACTCCATTTTAGGATCAGGGTTTAAAGGGCAGGGTTTTAGGATCAGAGCTTTAAGTTCAGGGTTTTAGCAATCGGGCTTTTAGGTTCAGGGTCTTGGGCTTAGGGTTCTAGGTTTAGGGTTAGGGTTCTAGGGTCATAACTCTAGGATTAGGGTTTAGGGTTAGGCTTCTAGGGCTGCGGTTTTAGGGTTAGGGTTCTAGGGTTAGGGTTTAAGAGCTGGGGTCTAAGGGTAAGGGTTTTAGAGTAGGGGTTATAGGGCTAGGGATTTAGAGTTCGAGTTTCAAGGTCTGGGATTTTGGGTCTGGGTTTAAAGGGGAACTGACACGCAAAAATAACTTTGGCTTATTGGATGCAAACTTTGTCGCTGACTTCAAATCTGGAAAAAGTTTTCTTCTTAGATTCACCGTTTTTCTGATATTTTCAGTTTAAGCAATAGCCAAAAGACAAACGAAATCTAGTGGAGACAGCGGTAAAAGCGATCCTGCAACCTGCTTTGGGTGCAAAAATAAGATTTCAAGAAAAAACCTTGGTTGATGGGAGCAGCGAGTGTGACTAAATAATAATTTCACCGAACTTGATTATTGTATTTTAACAGAGGTCGAGATACTAGGGAATAACCTAGTCTTGCAAAAAGACCATCCCCCGGCCATGTCATAATTGCTTGCAAAAGAAGATAATGCACCGGTTGATATTCCTATGACAGCTAAACAGTATTTTCTTCGACCAAGAAATCAAGTTCCTTGACTAAGAGCTGAGAGCCTATTTCGTAAATCCAGATTTTTTGACTGCCAGGTAACTTATCAATAGACCTTTACCCTAATTACGTCATCATTGCAAATTTGCGCGTTGCATTCTGGGACTAGTGGTCACGCAGTCACGCAGGCAACCAAACTGTTGATGTTTGTGAATCGACTTCGTGGAGAACAGCTTAAAGAACATCGTACAAATATGTCAGAATATAGCGATTCAGCCACAATTCAAGTGAGAAATCAAAGCCCTAGTTTTTTTAAAAACTCTTGCCCGGGCATAAATTCGATTTCAGAAGACAAGGAGCCTGGCGATATCGCATCGATTACCATCGGTAGGCCTAGGCCCGACAACGCTATCCGCAACCATGAAACCGAAAGCAAAAACATTACAGATGGCTGGACGAAATCATTGCGCTGTTTACCTGGAATGACAGATAATAATATCGAAAATGCACTTATTCACCAATCTGTTTCTTCTCCAAGACGTTGCATTGCTCCGAAAGCTTTTAGAAATAAGAAGCAGGGATATAAACTCTGGAAGGAAGGATTTGTACGCAATGTCTTTGTCAGAGAAAATGTCCCGGGACCAAGACTGATGTTTCTTCTGAAGAGCAGGGTGCACGCTTCGATGAAAAATACTTCATACAATGTTTATGTCCACCTAGATCAGAGTAATGGTAAAATTCTGTACTCTAAATGCATGTGCAAGGCAGGTCAGGGTGGCTGTTGCAAACACGCGGCTGCTTTGCTTTTTACTTTGCTAGACTTCACGAATGCACAGTACAGCAAAATTCCTGATATGCTTACATGCACTGAAGTTGCTCAAAAGTGGCATGTGCCATCCGCAACAAGTATGACATTGTCAGCTGCTGTGAAGTTTGATGATGTCATTTTTAGTAAATATGAGCCAAACAAAGAAAAGAAAAGAGCATTTGCCAGCCAAGCCCGTCAGGATTACTGTGCAACCCCTCAGTTTGCTCAAAAAGTTAGTGCTAATGCATTTGAACAACTGGCTAGTGATGCTGGAAGAGCCACACTTTTGTGCAAAACTTTGCAATCAAATGAATTTAAGCCAACTGAGTTTTTTGAGACATCATGCAGAAAGCAGGAATCCATAGTCAGAGGGCAAACGGAGCAAAGCACATCTGAAGACATCAACAGTGAAAACACACCTCCTTTTCATCAAAGTGTCATGAAGGAAGAGATCAGGCTCAGTGTTCAAAAATTGGTTGGTGTTTCCCAAAACCAAGCCATAGACATATGCATTGCAACACAAAGGCAAGCCAAGGATCCTGCCTGGTTTGATGAAAGATACAAACGTGTGACAGCATCTCATTTTGGGAAAATAATGAGCAGAAGGAAAAATATTTGGCCCAAGGCTATCA